ATTTTAGAGTGACAGACTAAAATCCCCAATTCGGTCCTATCGTTTGGGTGTTGATGTGTAGATGTTAGCCCTCAGGTGAGGGGAACGTGGGAGCTCCGAAGTGAGAGCCGATATCCTCCCAGCCTAGCCGCAGAATCAGTAACCAAGCATATGATTGGTCAATGTTCTTTATGCCTGAACCAAAGGGTAAAAGATAGGCATGCTCCTATTTGACACAATATAAATTGAATTAATTCATTTTATCTATTCACTATAATTTCTTGGCAATGAGAATGATGCTTTCTTATATATTGAATATCACAATTAAACGTTTTTCCCTATAATTAGTTATTATTCAAATTATCTACTTATTGCAATTGCCTATTAGTGACAGATAAGCAATTTGAACGTCGTTGTAGTTGATGTATTACTTTTTAATAAATCTTAGTCCGTAGTATTCTATTTCTCCCTATGGGATCGATATCTAGGACTCCATTAGAGCCTTATATTACTGGAGCGATATGTATACTTGCGTTGACAATTTGACTTTAACATTATTGAATATTATATCCATACATCTTTATTAAATCAAACATATTATATAAAGTCGCAGTCAAGTTTTTGGCATCATTGCTAGAATTTAATTCTTCTAGTAGCGTCATCAATTTCCGTGGTCCAATTTATTTCTTGGTTTCTCTATCAAATGTCATCGTCGGCGCCCCCGCTGTTCTGGACTCCTCCTTAATGCTAGCATCGTCGGCGTCCTTGTTAGCGCGGAGTTTTTCTTCTAAAACGTCATTTTAACTTCAAATTCCATCATTTTTGCTTCATTTTTACTTCAAATGCTAAAAATCATCAACCTGCAATAAAACATGAAAAATATATTCATTTAAAGCGCAATATTACCAAAAATGAGTATAATATAAATGTCTAAAAAAACATATATTTTTGGTGCATCATTATATATTAAATTTGTTCAAAAAAATTTAACAAAAAGTAACAAAATAATATATTTTTCTAAATAATTATATTATTAAATAATGCTCAATAAAATATTTTTAAAAATTGTAGAATTAAATAATTGTCACACATTATATGAACTACTTAGTATAGGAGTTAATTGCCCTTTAATTAAGCAACTAGTTTTTTTTTTTCTTTTTTAATACTATTGTAAAGAAAAAATTAACAAATTATATTTTCAAAATTTGTCCTTGGAAAAAAAGGGAATACATTGGATTATTTAGTAAAATTCGAAGGGTATTTAAGTAAAATTAAATGTGAAGGGTGTGATCAAAAGCTAGCGGAATAGAATTTCACTGATGTTTTCGCTCTTTTCACTTCACTGCTTTCGATCTACCTCACACTCTCTAAACCCCACTCCATTCTCCTTTCCTCCTACAGCGCCGCAGTGCAATGGGATGCGCGGCGTCGAGGCTGGACAATGAAGACACAGTCCGGCGCTGCAAGGAGCGTCGCCGCCTGATGAAAGAAGCAGTCTATTCCCGTCACCACCTCGCCTCAGCACACGCCGACTACCTCCGCTCCCTCCTCCTTACCGGTTCCGCTCTCACTCGCTTTGCGGCCGGTGAACCACTCTCTGTGTCTGAACAAACTCCTCCCGTTTTCCTCCATCATTATTCAGCCGCTCCCTCTGCCGTTTCCTCTCTCCCTCCTCCAACTCCTGCATCTTCCATTCCCCGGCCCCCGGCTTTCCATACCCCCTCCCCCTACACTCCCTCCATCACTAATTCCAAGCTCCCTCACATCCTTTCCGACTCTAGCGTCCCCTCCACCCCCTCAGCCGCCCCTGCCCCCTCAGCTTCCAAGCGTCATTCCAATCGCTTCTCTTCCACTTATGCTACGACACCCTCCCAAGCCTCCTCCGTCTGGGACTGGGAGAATTTCTACCCTCCCTCTCCTCCCAGCTCCGATTTCTTCAATCAGCTCAAGGAGGAGGAAGAGAAAGAAGAATCACCCCATGCTGAGCCCGAAGAAAACAATTATCACGAGGGGCACCATCTACCTCAGGAGGATGACGAGGGTGACAATAGCTCGGTGGTGCATGATTTCCCACATGGACACTATGACAGCAGTTCGAGTTCGTCGACCAAATCCGACTGTGACGAGGAGGAGGAAAGGTACTCGAGATCTGAGAGCACGGCCCCGAGATCCGACTTCGGGGGATCGTCGTCGTTGGACGTCGGCGCCCGTGTCCGACCGGCGCCATCTGAGAGCGGATCCACATTCACCGCCCCGGGGAAATCGCTTCGGCGGGAGAGATCAGAGTTTAGATCCAACTCCGCCGGTTGGAACGGAAGGGACGATTGTTCTTCTTCCGTCACCGAGGATCTCAGGTTAGTTGTGCGCCACCGCGATCTGGCGGAGATCGTTTCTTCTCTCGAGGAGTACTTTGCGAAGGCTTCCGCCGCCGGTGAGCCCGTCTCCGATCTACTCGAGATCGGACGCGCGCAGCTCGAACGCAGCTTTCGGCATCTCAAGAGTAAGCAAGCCGTACACAATCGTTAGTTAGGGCTACTGGTTGTCGTCATTACTAGTACTACATTTTTGGCCATTTGTAAAGGGAATTATTTCTGATACAATTTTTTTTCAGAAACTGTTTACCATTCAAATAGCGTGCTGAGTGCTATATCTTCAAGCTGGTCTTCAAAGCCGCCATTGGCAATAAGGTATCAACTCGATACCGGTACGCTCGAAAAGTCAGGCGTGGAGAAGAGCCATGCCTCTACACTGGAGCGGCTTTTTGCTTGGGAGAAGAAGCTTTACGAAGAGGTTAAGGTAAAATTTTCATTTGAAACATATTTTCACTACTAAATTTAATATTTTATGGTCATTAAATTGATATTTTGGTGAATCTTGCGATTTATACATGTCACTCTTATATATAAGTAGTATATTAGTAAATGAAATGAAAATTTTTCAGTATTGTGAAATGATTCTTCCTCTCACTTGACATCACATTGCCTCATCATCATCATTATTATTGTTATTGTTGTTATTATTATCGTTATTATTACTATTATTAAAATTCCACAGCTCAGTTGATTGCGTAGTTTTGCAGCGCGGTGGTACCTACTTGTCTGCTCTATAAAGAAGAATTGGGGAGCATCTATGCTCAGCACCATTTTTCAATTTCTGTTTTTCATAAAGTTAGGAATATTAAAAGTGTGATGATTAGGTCAAGCATCTATATTCTGAATCTTGTTTAGAAAGCGATTAGCTTGATTTAATGCCTTTTGCGTATAAACTGAAATAGTAGTTTGTATTGTGAGGAGAAAAGCGGGATTTTTTTTTTTTTTTTTTTTTTATTAGTTTCTCTTTCTGATGTCGTCCGTCTGTGAAAAATTTTGCATGGGTGAGGAAACCCTCCCCCAAGCTATGGAAACCATTTTGCTGTATTTTGATTAGGTGTACAATAGCTGTTAGGTCATACCTGGACAAATAACTAATTACTAGATTTCTTTAGTACAGCACTACGGTACGAGCATTTGCGTTTTGGTGTCCATACTCCATACCCCGAAGGCATCACAACAGCTTTGCTTTTGGCTCTTTTCCAGCAAATTGTTCTCAAGTTTGAAAATTGTTTTAGCCACAACTTGATTAGGTATCTTTCAGTTAAAATGTTCTAAAAAAATTAATCTTGAGCTTCACTGTGATGCCTGTTTAAACTTGCTCGATATAACTGTTTAGTTGGTTTAAAAGTTATTGCTTTACTGAGTAGGGTGGGTGCTGCATGTTTTTGTAATTTGGTTGCTCGGTTAGTCGGCATTTGCCAAACTATGGCTGGGAGTAAATATTTTGGGATTTTCTAACGGTTTCAGCTGCTTGGGGACTAATTGTTGTGTTGCATGTTATGTGATGAAATGTGGGTTTTTTCTTGTTTTTTCATTTATTTTTTAAGATGATTACTTGAGTTTGATGGGAAATAGGTTCCGCACATTTTTTGTCCGGACACCTGACGTACCTCTACGTGCGGTATTCCTGAGTTATTTTCAGATTATTTCTGGGTTATTTTCAATAATCCCAAAATAACCCAAAAATAACCCAAAAATAACGAATGCGGGTTATTTCTGGGTTATTTCGGGATTATTGAAAATCGGGATTATTGAAACCCAGAAATAACATGAAAATAACTCAGGAACACCCTTCGCCGCACGTAGAACTACGTCAGGAGTCCACACAGAAAAATTTTTGCCCCCTTGTAGCTTTGAATTTAAATATGTTGATGGTTGGAACAAGTGCAAGAACTGTGGTAAAAAAAAAATGGTTATTTGTTTTTTTTAAGTATTATAAATTAATCTAGTTAGCTTCTGCACTGGTTGATTTATAAGGCACACTCTTAGGAGCTCATGCTGCCACCCAATATTACATGATGGATGTGTACTAGTTGATGTTTTTAATGTCCATGTGGGTGGCGCCAATTGGGGCCATGTGATTGTGGTGAGTTAGATCATCAGCTCTGCTTGTTGTGAGAAAGTTGTGACATTGGATTAAATTCTAATAAATATGAAGGAAAATGAGTTCGTATTCTCTCCAATCGAGGGGTTAACTTAACCCTTTATGGCTATACGATGCATTTAGATTGCTGGTATTAATGCTATGTAATTGATTGGATTATTTTCATAATTTAGTGGAATCAAGCGTCGCCACTGAACATAGATCAACTGGTTGGGAGGGGTTAACTGCAAAATATAGTTTACATTCTTTATTTTTCTTATATCTCTCAAATTTTCATGATTTGTTTTAATGTCGATGTTGGTTATTTATAATATCTTTTGATAATTTCTTCTATAAAGGAGTTTAAGATGTTTGGTAAATTAAAATATATTTTTTATTTTACGAGTGTTTGAAATAAATTTATTATTATATAAATTGATTTTATATTTATTTTTGTATTTACTCTTTATTTTGTAAATATTTAGATATCGTATTATAATATAATGTCAAATGTGCTTGTGTTCTTTATTTTCAATAATAAACATCACTTTTATGCATGTTATATCGTGTTTGTGTTCTTGAACCTGAATTGATATTGTCATAGCTCATAGGCTTGTGTTGGGGGTGGAAACCAGATTCAAAACCAATTTACGCTGGTTCAATTTAAATTTAATTTTAGTAATCTTTAATCCACATATTGTATTTCAAAAAATTGATTATTGAAATTAGAATTAACGCATGGACTGCTTTATAATTTTTTCTTAGTTATTTGCTAAATACATTACCTTTGCTGCATGAATATTTTTAACTGCCAAGAGCCTTAATGTTGTCTATCAAAACAAATTGAAAATAAATACTACTTGAACCATAACTTTCTATATTCATAGATTTCTTCATTAATCAGTTCATCGCGATGATTTCTATGTATATGTTAGCAATTGGATAAAACAGGTTGATCTGGGAACATGATTTTTGTTCTCGTTTCCTGCTAAATCCTAAAATTCTCATGATCCGGACATCTGAATGCAGGCAAGGGAGGGTGTGAAAATTGAGCATGAGAAGAAATTATCTTCATTGCAAAGCCAGGAGTATAGGGGAAAAGACGATGCAAAGTTAGACAAGACAAAGGCTTCCATCAACAAGTTGCAATCTCTTATCATCGTTACTTCTCAAGCTGTTTCCACCACTTCTTCTGCAATCGCCCAAGTCCGAGATAATGAGCTCGTCCCTCAAGTTGTTGATTTGTGCTTTGGGTAAATGCTCCCTTCAACATAAAAAAAAAAATTCTTTATCTCAAATTCATGTACAAACAAATCCTAATTTATGCAATGCAGCTATCTAAGCATGTGGAGATCAATGAATCAGTTCCATGAGATCCAGAACCATATAGTTCAACAAGTCCGAGGCCTCATTCATCGACCACTCTCTGGTCAGTCCACATCTGATCTGCACCGTGTCGCCACTCACGACCTCGAGGCTGCTGTTTCCTCATGGCACTCTAGCTTTAACCGCCTTATCAAATTCCACCGCGAGTACATCTGTGCGCTCCATGCATGGGTTAAGCTAACTCTACTTCCTGTGAGTAGCGATGGTCCTCAAAAGCAGAATTCTTCTCCCATTGCCATCGAGCTCACAGCCTTCTGTGATGAGTGGAAACAGGCTCTTGCTCACCTCCCTGACACCGTGGCTTCCGAGGCTATCAAGAGCTTTATGAACGTCGTTCATGTCATCTCCACGAAGCAGGAGGAAGAGTTGAAGGTGAAGAAGAGAGCTGAAGCGTATTCAAGAGAGCTTGAAAAGAAATCCACTGCTTTGAGAAACATCGAAAGGAAGTACTACCAATCCTATTCCATGGTTGGAGTAGGGATTGCCGGAGGGGATGGCCCCAATGGCCAAGTGCTCGATGCTCGTGATCCGCTTGCGGAGAAGAAATCTGAAATTGCAGTATGTAGGAGGAAGGTGGAAGATGAGATGGTTCGGCATGCGAAGGCGGTTGAGGTCACCAAATCCATGACGCTGAACAATATACAGACTGGCCTGCCTGGTGTTTTCCAGGCAATGACTGGATTCTCTGGATTGTTTGCAGAGGTGCTGCAAGGAGTGTGCCGAAGGGCTGGGTCTGTGAAGTAATGATAGAAGCATGGATTCCTTTCTCTCAGATTGTTATGAGCTCACTGAAAATTTTCATGGGAAAAAGCGTATAGTTACATAGTTATAATTTGAAGGGGAAGTTCTGATATTCCATATGTTTTGTTCTGTGAGCAGAATTTAGCTTGCTGTAGATAGCAGCTTTATATCATTTTGATATATATTTTTATATGTATTTTTTGTCCCTACCAAAAGAAGGGTTGGAGGGGCTTTGTACATGTTAAGAAATGGAGGGGTTGAAGATGTGGTTGGCATGTTGGCGTCCTAGTGAAATAAAAGAGCTACTGTTTCTATAGGTTTACTTGTTAGTGTTGTTTCTTCGACTGCTTGGCTTCTTCTGGTTGAGAAATTTTACTCCTTTATAAATTTGAAAGAAAGTAATACTGGCGAGATTAATCACTAATATAAATCAAGAATAATCTATAACACTAATAAAAACTTAATTTCGCATTTATTACTTCCTCTGCTGATATAACGAATCTCATACAAGATTTTCCATCAGTAGATTTTGGGGCATTTGTATACATTTCACCCAGATCTATATATATGTAAATCTTTTTCTTTTTCACAGGAGATATGAGAGTAGGTTTCAATTGAAAGTTTTTTACATGATCATTTTTTGTGTTGCGGATTTGCTAGAACGATGCTCCAGGCTACGTTTTGCAAATTAAAAGCCGGCTTCATTACAGATTGTTTGGACCGACAAGCGCGAGTACGCGGCCCGGAGTGGATATCCGACTGATGGTGGCTGGGGAGTCGTGCCGCCAGGCGTCAAACTTCTTAATTAATGCTTCTACATGGCCTCGGTACTGTCTGGGTTCCTCCGGGGGGCAAGGTGTCGAATGTGAGCGAATTTAGACCAGTATTTGTTTGACTTTTGGATATTTTACATAACGCAGCCTTCGAATCTGGATATTGAAATCTAACGGTTTTGAACTCATATTTTATACATTAAAGTCTCTTTTACGCGCGGTGTCCCCAAAGTTGCTCGCCGCATTGCTGCTGCACCTTCCCATGATTCTTTTTGCGATGATCAGAGGGCAATGGTGAGAAACGGTGTTGGAAGGCTTGAGTGTCTCATTGTTGATGGATCGAGGACAGATCTTGAAGGAATTGGGACGGGATCTGATATTAAAAGCGAATTAGATTGAGAATTGGATCCAATTGCTTAAAAGTTTGAAAGTTAGATGAAAGAGTGGGGAAGATGACTTTTACTATTAAGATGAAGTTAGGAATGCGATTGGGATTGATTGCGAAATCGAGTCCATCAAGATACATTTTTATTATGTTCAATGGAGATCGACACCGTATGCATTTCTGTATATGGTGTCCCTGTGGAATAATTTTTCGAGAATCTAGGTGAGGATGGAGAGAAAAGTTGAGGACGCCAGCTGTAGCACATACAGACAAAGGGGAGACCACGGGATGGATGGAGGGCGTAATGAAGACCTTAATGTTTTAAATAGGAGTTTGGGAGCAAGGAGATGTGAATAGTCGGGTTTGGAAGCCGAGGTACATAAGAAACCCTTGTTTTTTTTTTTTTTTTTTTTTTGTTTTTTTGGTCTCGTATTTCAAAATAAGTCATAAATAGCAACTTACGAGTTAGACTCACTTAAAATATGAATTTTTTCGAATGAGCTCGATTTTGAGATTTTTTTGTTTTCATCTTTACATTTAAATAGAATTTCTATTGAGAAATTTTCATCATTTTGGCGATTAAAAGTTTATGGAGCCACATGAGGCAATTTTCATACATACCACCTAATTTTATCTATTTACATGTGTGATAAAAAAAGAAAAGTCAACTTTTGGGATAAAAGGTATTTACAAACATTCCGACCCTTCGTATTATTTTAGGGGCATTTACGACAGACTACATAAATCCTATTTATTTACATATCTAATAACTAAACTTATATAATTTATAATCTCACTACCAAATAAATTTTATAAATAATAAAATTTAATATTTTTAATGCATTTATAAATTAATATAAAAAATATAAATAAATATTGTTGTTTAATTATTTCAAGTCAAAAAAGAGCTGAACAAAAAAAATTAGTATTAGTTTTTGTTCGGCTCATTTATAAATCGAGCTAAGAAAATTATTCATAATCAACTTACTTACTTAAGGAACGAATCAAATACGAGCAATTTAATAAGCATAACATGAGCAATTGGATAACCCCCGTGTTCCAAAACCCAACCAAAGTTTCAGTCTCTCTCACTTTGGCAATTTCTTTTTTTTTTTTTCTTAATGATAATTTGAAATTTATTCTATTGAATATAATATAAAATTTTTAATTATTTAGTATTTATTTGATTATAATTTAATTAGGATATTTCCAATTATCTGAATCTTAAAACTGTAAAATATGAATGTATTTAAATATAGCGGTCTATGATGTTTAAAATACATATTTACTCGCAATTCTTGTAACCTAACAAACCTTAGGTGATTTTTTTCTATTTAAAGAATTTGGACATCTTTCAAAACTAAGAAAACATATATGCAATTGTTATCTACGGGAGCATTCATGATAGTTGAGATTTACATTCATGATAGTTGAGATATACATTCATCCATAGAATAAAATTTTCACATATAAAAATAGGTTGAAGACATTTAATAGAATGGAAAATTTGTGTACGATACAGTTAAATCTTTTTCGAACGTATGATTCTGTATGATTCGTAAACTCATACAACTTGGGAGAGATCTTATTGAAGAAATGTGAAAAGTTGATGGATGTTTTTGAGAGATAGGGGGGATCGATAGAAATTTTCATCATTTTGGCAATATGAGATTAAAATTTATAGGTGTATATTTTATATATTCTTTAGACTTCTGTGCGGGTACATAAGTTTTAGGTTTTCTTCAGGGGCATTTTTTATTCATATTTAATTGAGATGATGTTTTATAGTGCCAATAAGCTTTAATGGTAATGCCTTGAAGAGTAGTTACAAAAATTTATTGTTGAGCTTTTAGACTTTCCTTTCTTTCAGAGACATTGTTTGTTCATATTTAATTGAGATGGTGCTTTATACTGCCAATAAGCTTTAATGGTAATGCCTTGAAGAGTAGTCGCAAAAAATTACTACTGAGTTTAGACTTTATTTTCTTTCGGTGATAAAAATTTGTACTCAGAGAGTAGTCACGAATACTCTGGAGTAGTTATTATGGACAATTTCTCATTCACAAGCCCTTACTACTTTGGTAGCAGAAATTACTCATTCTTTTGTTGTGACCAAAATGTGACATAAGATGACACTTAATAATGCAGAGACTCCTACAACTAAAAAAAAATCAACCTAAATGATGCGAAGAATCACTACCTGGGCTTATTTTATGAAGGATTGTGATTCTGTATATTCATTTATTCTTCTATTTCCTCTGTTGTGTGATCCCTAGTGGAATATTTTAAGATTCTTTGGCACAAAAATAATGTCTCGGACAGTTACTAATATTGAGATATGGGCGCAACACTTTGTGATGATGACTAATTTATTATGTGAGAACTTTATTAATTTTCAAAATTTTTACTGATTTATTCAGCTTTTTTATTTCTAGAATATATTTATGTTTGTAACCTATGATTGTATAAGAGGTTCAACTGATTCAAATTAGGCTTTCTTCGGCGATTTTTTCTTCTCCTCTACATTATCGCTTTTGTGACGTGCTCTAGCTTTTTTGGTTTTAATACAAATTTTTCCTCCACAACCATGATGAACCGGTGGTATTCCAACCTGGAGGTGAATATGATCGCCATCGCTATGTAGAATGGTAGTAAAAACTTTCTTGCTCTGAAAATACCCGTGGAATCATTAATTACTATGAAAGCTCTTGACACGAAATAACAAGATTGTACCTTTGAAGACTCCTACGTTTCTTCAACTGCAATAAGAGGTTGAAGCTTCGACTGCTATAATTTTGTATAAGGTGTGCTGTTATCAAGAATAGTTCCCAGTTTTGGCTTGGCCTTCAATTTCTTTTTTGTGAAGGACTGCTAGATAGTCCTAACTTCTTTAGATCATTTCATGCACAAATTCATCCAATCTCGATAGCTAGTTGTTAGTATTACTTTTAAAACATAGATTGTTTTGGTATGTAAATATTTTTTTGTAACTTGCGTCACCTAGGGCATTTATGGATGAGACAGTGCTATTTTCTCAAATGAAGATAATAATGTTAAATTTATTGAACTAGTTTCTTGATTAGATAAAGAAGCTTCATTTTGTCTGTTGTAAGATGGCATGGAATATTCTCCTAGCCCCTTAATTCTTCAATGGAGGCAGGCCACCGACTATAATACATTTTATTATTCAGGGACATCATAGCGATAACGAGCTAAACTGTGAAAAACTGGATGTCGAGCTCTTTATGGTGACAAAATACATGAAAACATCTTTGTTATGTACATACTAAGCTTGTTCACATGATGACACTCTTTGAACAATTGATACACCAAAATAATGTGTTCTTTTAAGTATACATTTTATGCTTATTTTTTATGATATTGAACTTTAAAGAATGGTATTTTCATGTTTTTATTACAGGTATATCAATTTTAGGCATTTGGAGCAAAAGTAGTAAAAAGGACGAAATTTGGAGCCAAAAATAGCAAATTTTGTGATTCTGACGCCTGAAGCGCCAAATTTGGCGCTTGAAGCACCACTTACAGAGAGCTGGCACGTGAAGTTCCAGATTTGGTGCCTAAAGCGTCATTTTATAGAGAGACGACACTTGAAGCGCTAGAACCCAAAACAGCGTGGATTTGAACAACTTGGCGCCTAAAGAGCCAGAATCAATGCCTGAGGCGCCAGAGACGACACATGATGAATTAAGGCAGTTCGAAATGAGGTTTGCACAAATTTTGAAGGCTCCAAATGTTTCAAACGCCCTATGGAGTGATTCAATACATCTAGACACTTTGGAAGGCTTTTTAATGAAAGGTCATGTCTCTTAAATGAAATGACTTGTCTTTTGGAATTCAAAAGGTTTGAATTTTGGAAAGAATTTTGGAGGGAATTTTGAATTCTTTTTAGAGGGAGCCAGCCTCTAATAAAAGAGAGGAAATTCTAGGGCATAAGTGGGTGGCGTGTAAGGGAATGGAAGAAGAGTTTTTGGTGGTGAAAAGAGAGAGAGGCGAGTAAGAGAGAGAGTCAAGGATTTGGAGATTTTCTTCAAGGGTTGTAAGAGGGGGTTGTAAGAGTGTAAGAGGAGAGAGAAGGTGAGAGATTTCTTCTTCATTACACTTCCAAGAGAGAATTCAGAGTGCTTGTAAGGAGGCAAC